ACTATAAAGGACAGGGGGTGTTCACCTTTGAAAACTTAGCTACTTAAGTCCTTCTCAGAAAGTCAAAGTAAAGGCGAACGGCATTCTGTTCTACAGCTACAACACTGAATATTTCTTATTAATATTAAACATCTTAATAGTAGAACTACTTTCGTACTACTAAACAAGGAAACCTTCGGTTCCCTTTGTTTGAATAAACGCCGCTTATTTTAGTTTACATTCAAACCAAAGTAAACCAAGCCTAAGCGGTCACGACATCTTGTTGATATTGATTGAGGAGTTTGATGGAGTTTAGCTGACTGAATCCATAAACCTAGAAAGTCGCCGTCACGGGTACTTTTTTATTTAAATTTGACTCTATAGGTAGGTATCGGCGGGGCTTGCGTAATGTAGTTGTAGTTAAGGCTGAAGTAGCGCTTTTTATTTTAGAAGATCTACTGAAGTACCAAAGGCGAACGGGGCTCCCAGGCCGGGACGTCTGGCAGAATGCTTGGCCTCCTGCGCTGGAAGCGAGACCCGAAGGGTGAGCTTATGGCGGTTAGCTTCTAGCACTAAATAATAGGCATTAGGCATTCTGAGCTGAAAGGAGGCAAGCAAATGAAGGGAGGCATTACGGGCCGACTACAAGAAAAGCAAAGCTTCGTAGACTCGGTCAAGTCGCTTATAGAATGCCGACGACTATTTTCCACTTAATTAATAAGTGAAGGGGAGAGGGAAGAGAGGCTTAGCGAGCTTTATAAGGCCGACCACTACATAAGCCGCTGGCGGAGAAAGCTCGAAGAGCTTCCCTTCATTCATTACTAAGCCAAGGTCCCAGGTCTCCGAGTCAGCCCGCGCTTTTTCGAAGAATCCTGCACCCTTGGGCATACGGCCTAGCAGGCCTTCCCTTTCCGCCGGAGCTTCATGGGCGTTGCCCCGTTCCCCAATCAAATGTTTGGATGTGAGCTATACTCCGCGAGGAGCCAAACGGGCGTATGGCCTTGCCATTTGACCTCTTTTCCCGTGTGACTAGGAATGCTCAGTGACAACCTCTCAATTGTCACCGCCTGGCTTCTCTTGCTACCACGGTAGCACCTAGTGTGGTCAGCACCAATCGTGTTCGGGCAACGAAGCTTACACTCATTCACATTGGTTCATCCTGCTATGCCCTGGGCCTTTTGCTCTTCTAACGTAAAAGGTGGCCGGCCATTCGTCAAGGCCCAGGAATCCGCTGGACATCTCAGCGGCGGGATTTGATACCCGCATCAAAATGACTTTAACAGATAATTTGGGATAGTTGAGTGATCATTTAAGTAATGGACTCCATAAGTTCAAATCTTTTCATCACTATCTCATAAATGGTTTCTCCAAACAAAAATAAAAATAAATATTGATATAACTTTTTTTTTCATACCAAAAACACATTTCGGTTGCATTTTCCACTTTTGTCAGACAGATTCAGAAAATCCTAATTGGAAACACTTTATTTAATTAAAAAAATGGCTGAGAAATTTGAAATTTGATCCGTCATGATTTTAAAATGTAAACCATATCGGCGGAAAAATCCACAAACTTGATGAATTTGATAATTTCAGGAATTAATCAACTACCTTATATTCTGTTAATGAAGGCAAATGTTACAAACAAACAATATAGCATCTTTTATTGTTAAAAATAATTAACAACTCCTTAAACGCATGTACTCTCTCTCATATGAATAAATATTAGAGAAAATATTAAGAGAAAAAAAACTCGTTTTAATTTTAAATATAAGCTAAATACATGCCGGAAACTTCTTGGCAATGGCATTCCAAAGATGTATGAAATCTTGTTTGATTCTCATTTCATTAAAAAGTGTATTTAATCCATTTGCGTATCTACGAGTAGCAAATTTGTACCAAATTTAGGTGACATTTTGATAGAAAATGGAATTGAAGGAGGAATAAATGTGTAAAGATTTTTTTTTCCCAGAGTATCAATGAGTACATTGTATTAAGACTAGTGTGGTATAGGATTAAGGGAACCCCAAAATATAAATGTCTTGTGAGTAAAGCTAAGTTAACCATTTCCCATAAATGGTAAAATATCAAATGGAGTAATATACTACTATTGGATAATGATACTTCAGTGAATGCAGTGATCGAAAGATAATTCTCTACAAATTAATGAGCTGTATGTGCCCCATTTGCACCAACAAATCTATAGCTTTACCACAGCTTGCTGTTGTCTACTATTTTATCCTGCACAATGTATCTCATATTCACGCAGGTTCCGGGGAAGGGTCGCACCCTTAAGGTATATGATGTAGATAATCTAATCTAATGCAAGTATTTGTGGCTGCTTTCACTACTCGAACTCGTGACCTATAGGTTACATGAATAATAGCGGAGCCAAGATGCTTATTAAGAGATGTCAAAATATAAAAAATATAACTATATATATATATATATATATATATATATATATATATATATATATATCGAGGGGATTCAACATATAGTAACTATACATAAAATAAAATAAAATATCTAGCAATATAGTGTAGTTTTTCGACAAAGGAGTATCAATTGACATCCTTGGTTAAATGTGGTTACGCTACTATACACAGAAATAACTTTACGTAACTGTAGATAAAATTAAAATGATCTACGTATTTGTAAGAACCATATTGGTTCAAATCAGCGACTTAGAGCAATTTCGCGATCATCTTCGTCTCTAAGCTAACTATTTTTCTCATGTCAAAATAATTCAATAATTTATATGCGAGCACTCACTCTGCAGTCTGCACACACAAAAAATAAAATAAAATACGTTTTTACCTTATTAAAAAGTATTTCCTCGGTGAAGAAAATTTAACCAAACACACATACCAAAAAATAATCTAAGCTAAGAGAGTAGTTTTAGCTGCATTAACGTGATACTGTTTTATTTTTATTTTTTTTAATCCGCAAATTACTGTCAGTTCCTTGTTTATTAGAGTGAATTTCACAAATGGTCATATAGTTATGACTTTTTTCTCCATATTCGTATAACTATGTTTTCTCACAAAAAATCATAAAACTTTCATTATTCACACAAAAATTACAATAATCGAAAAATACAATTTTCTGAAATGACCCAACCCGAGCTGACACAATACCTATATATATAAATTAAAATAATACTAAAAGTGAACCATTCTCCCCAAAAAAATGCATTGTTTAGAATGCATTAGAATAATAGCTAGAAAACATAATAAGAAAATAAAAAATAAAAAACATCAAATAAGAAAATACTATCGGAAAGTTGTGTTTTACGGTCACTGTAATTTTTGTATGAGTTAGTGAAAGTTTTATGATATTTATGTGTGAAAAACATAATTATATAATTTTAATAGAAAAAAATTATAGTTATCTATCCATTTGTCATGAAAAATACCCTTTATTCTCATACAATAAGTTTGTACTTTGTACACAAGAAAATTTACCTCATTCATACGAAGTTTCAAATAAAGTGCCTAACCACTAATGCAGAAACTTTCTGATAACTTTCGAAAATATATTGTTAGTTAAATATGTTTCTCAATATTACTATTCAGTTAGGTAACTTGTTTTTAGTGACAAAAAGAGAAGAAAGAGGCTAATCATAAAAGTGAACATTCTTTTAACTGACATGGCGGTGGTCGTTCAATGTAGACTTAATGTAATAAAACAATTTCAAAATTGACCCTAATGACTTATTGTCTGCTGTATTTTTCTCCTAACAGCTCATTATCGATAGAGACGAAACGAAAGCCCCAACTCCAATAATTTAGTAGGCCACAAGAACCTCACTGTAAAATGGTCCATCTAGCATTAGGATATGAATTTAGTTGAAACTTAAAAAAAATATTTTTGAAATTGTATTGAAAAATAGTTTGTTGAAGTTGTAGTCGACATACACTTTACTTTTAAAAAATATTAAAGTTTTGTGATTGGAGAAAAATTCCACACAAAAACTGGTCAAAATTAAACTAGTTTTTTGAAAACAAAAATAGCCATAATCTATGTCTAGACAGGAGCTTATTATTTAGAGTGGAAATAAAATTTTGTAGTGATGAAAAATTAATATCGAGAGGTATGATGAATGTGAGCGGAAAAAAAATTTCACGCAAAAACTGGCCCAAACAAGTATTTTAAACTTTTTATTCTAAAAATTTTCAGGAACGGATCAAATTCCAAAACAAACAATGTTTTCAAGATTTTTTTGACAAAAATTACCAAAATCTATGCCTAAACGAGAGCCTAATATATAGAGTGGAAATAAAATTTTCTAATGATGTAAAAGTAGAAAAAGAAAGGTAACCACCATAACCAATTGTGTTGACTATGAAGAAAGAAAGAAGTGAAAGGACAAGAGAGTGTACTCTTCCCATCTCTCACGCGGAAAGTGTGCAGTTGTAATAATGCTAACAAACAAATAGTGTAAATTAGAGCAACAAATAATGGTCGGATATGGCCGAAATAACTGAGCGCGGCAGTTTGGTTGGAAGGGAACACTTTGGGTCAAGTTTTCTTTCTCCTCTTTATATCAATTCACCTCCCCAATCCTATTAAAAGATTTTTCTGATAAGAGACAACATAATGTAGAAAATATTGTTGTATGATATATCTTTTCGTCCAATAATATTTCACAAATAGTGGCGTATCACCATAATTTCATCAACCTCTTCAAGTTATAAATTACTAATAGATCAGCAATTTAAAACTCATATGAGAAGCAACCAAAACAAGTTTTTGTGTCTGTACTAAAGTTGTTTTTTTTTTGGTAATTAAAACTTTCATTCACCAGTAATATTTATAAGTTGTGTCAAGCTTAATCTGGACATAAGCTCCAGATTTAGCCATTCAATTCACTATCCTCAGTTCTAACTACTATACTACTAGGAATGACATCTAACTATACATTAGGATAGTAGTTAAGTTCCATCAATCTTCGTTGTAGTCGTTGTTGATTAGCTCATCGACCATGCACATCTTGTATTATTACTTTGCTTAATACTGCTACTGATCGCTGTTCTCCTTTGAAAATTCTGCCATTCCTCTCTTGCCATACATGGTACAGACTACCTGCCAGAATTAGTTTATACAGTTCAATTGTTGTGGTCTCCCCCCCCCCCCCCCCCCATAGTATCTTTCTGCCCACTCAATCTCATTAGCCCATGTCATTGCTTGCCTATGAATCCCTTGCCATTGCAGCATTGCTATCCATACTCTTGAAGAATAAGGACAGCTAAAGAACAAGTGATCAATGGTTTCCTCCTCAGTATTACATAATGAACAGGTTGCATCTTCCACATAGCCCCATCCCCTCAATCTGTCTTTAGTCAGTAGCCTTCGATGTGCCGATAGGAATACTGGAAAGATCCACTTTGGCAACCCAGCATTGTTAAACACCAGTTTTCTCCATGACACTCTAGCAAATTCACCTTGAATCTTCACATACATAGTCTTAATGGAGAAACTTCTTATTCCCTCTACATCCTCCTCTGTATAGCCAGCTTCCTCAAAGTATTTTTTGGCTTTCAGGATCTTCTGTACCATCCATGAAGCTTGCTTTGGCTGAATTGTCCACAGTGAATTCTGTTTCTTGTACTACACATGTATCCATTGCACCCACATCTTATCTTTTTACTTGCATAGATTCTATAGGAGTTTGCATATAGCTGCCTTATTCCAGGCCTCTACATCAAGAAAATTTAAGCCACCTGCTGCTTTAGGCTTACACAAACTTTCCCATGACAATAAAGCTTTCTTTGATACTTCCACACCCCCAGTCCATAGAAATGTTTGACACATTCTTTCAATAAGCTGAATCAGTTTTTTTGGCAACAAAAACACCTGAGACCAGAACACTTGAATAGAGAATAGCACACTCTTAATTAACTGAACTCTTCCTGCATAGGACATGAGCTTTGATGTCCAAGATCGAATTCTCCCTAGCATCTTTTCAAGTAGAGGCTGACACTGAATCAATGATAATCTCTTAGAGCTGAGAGGCACTCCCAAGTATCTAACTGGTAATGTTCCTTTGACAAAATCTAGAACTTGTAAAATCTCCTGTTGCTTGTCATTATGCACTCCACCAAAAAATATGGAGCTTTTATCAGCATTTGCCACTAGCCCTGATGCCTTTGAAAAACTCTGAAACACTTATACAGTAGCTGGACAGATATAACATCCCCTCGACAGAACAACAATAAGTCATCAGCAAAGCTCAGTTGCACTATGTTCATTTTGCCACATTTAGGATGGTAATTGAAGTTAGGGTCCCTCTTGAGTGTCTTCAGTAATCTTGTCAGATACTCCATAGCACAATACAAATAGATAAGGATATAGGGGATCTCCCTGTCTCAATCCTTTCTTAGCTTGGAATGGCTTAGTAGGCTGCCCATTAATGATGATGGAATATGAGACTGTTGTTACACATCTCATAATCCATTGCACAAATTTCCCTAGCAACTACAAATATGTCAACACCTGCTCTAAATAGCCCCATTCAACTAAGTCATAAGCCTTCTTCATATCCATTTTCATCATGCATCTAAGAGAAATACCTTTCAAGCCATACCCTTTAACTAACTCATGACTAAATATTATGTTGTCATTTATCAGTCTCCTAGGAACAAAAGCTGACTGACTTTTATCCACCAACCCATCCATCACTCCTTGTAATCTATTAGTTATGACCTGAGATATAAGTTTGTATAGTAGTGTGCAACATGATATTGGCCTGTACTTAGTAATTTTAGAAGGATTTTTCACCTTAGGTACAAATGTTACTGTTGTACAATTTATAGGCTGGTACATAGTTGAACTTGAGAAGAACTCCATTACTGCATCTGTAATTGTGTCTCCTATTGCAGGCCAAGCTTTCTTGAAGAATAAAGCATTAAAACCATCACATCCAGAGGCTTTGTTATCACTTATGCCTTTAGAGCATGATATATCTCCTCCTTTGATACCTCTGTTATCAGTTGCATTTGTTGCACTCTGTTCACCATAGGACCATCTCTCATGACAGCTGGATTAATAGCAGGTAACACATTTGCTGAGGAACTTAATAGTTGTTGGTAGAACCCTGTCACTTCCTCCTCAATTCCCTGCCTTGTTTGCATTGTATCCCCATTATACTTTACTAGTCTTCTGATTTTCTTCTGGCTGCATCTGTTTTTCATACTTGCAAAGAAATATGTTGTATTGGCATCACCTAGCTTTAACCATTTTACTCTTGACTTCTTCTTCATAATACTTTCCTCCACCCCTAACCATTTCTCCAACTGTACTTGCATTTCTTTTTCATCAGCTACTAGGGCCTCAGATTGACCGGGATCCTTCATTTGTTCTTGTAAAGCAATTAGTCTTTGCCTGCATACCTTGATCCGATCACCAATAGAATTATATTTATTATTGTTTAAAACCTTCATAGCCTGCTTCACTCTTTTTAGTTTCTGCCAGACATTCCTCATATTGTTTTGTTCCTATGGCCTCTCCCATGCTTCACTTAGTATCTTTATAAACTCATCATGCTCAGCTACGTGATTTAGAAATTTGAATGGTTTAGCGCTATAGTCTTCATCCTCGTCCAATGCTATACTCAATGGGGAATGGTCAGAACAATGTGGATCCATAATCTATACCTCTAAGTGTGGCATGGCTAGCATCCATTCAGCGTTAATCAAAGCTCTATCAATCTTGCTATAAGTGTGTCCATTTGTCCGTGTAAAACTCCTTCCACTAGCTTTCATTTCTGTCAATCCAGTGCTGTCGATAAACTCATTAAAGTCTCTGATCTCCAGTTCTTGCACCGGATTGCCAACTGGTCTATCTTCCCGTGATCTAATGGCATTATAAACCCCCATTATCAACCATGGCCCTTGCTGTATAGAGTGTAATCTTATCAGTTCACTCCACATGCTTCTTCTATCTTCCAAACCGTGCAGTCCATATACAGCTGTAAAAGTGAACCTCATATCCAATCTCCCAACATAAACTGCAGCGTGTATAAGTTGAGAAGTTCTACACAATTCTATACAGTCTATTTCATTTGAATCCCATAGCAACCATATTCTTCCTCTACTACTATATTCATAGTTGTCTAAGCATGCCCATCCAGGTGTAATTTTCCTTATAACTTGCATAGCATTCTGTTCTTTTATTTTATGTTCTAGTAATGCAATCATATGAACTTTATTACTACGAATGAACCACTTCACCTCTTTTTGTCTAGGGGCTTTATTTAAACCCCTTATATTTCAAGTTACTAGCTTCATACAGGTATGAAAAGGGGTTGCATAGTCCCTTCCTGCCTACTATTACCTTGCTATCTACTTGTCCCTTCCTCCATTTGTCTTGGCATTGCTAGCTGCAGTTTAGACTCTGTGAGAAGGTTAAAACCATTAAGCACATGGTTGTCTCTCTCTGCTTCTAGCTGCTGATTTTCCTATAACAGTTTGCCACACTTGTTCCTTATTCCTTTCAGTGCTCCTGTACCAGCACTAGCAACCAATGTACTAGTGCTAGCATTTCCTTCAATACTAGGCTTTATCATCTTTGATTGCTCCTTGGCAGCTGTTTCCTGCACTTTAGGTACAGGTTTAGGTTGCCATTCTTGTTTTTGCTTTGCATTCTTTGCCTTCAGTTTTGGTCCTAGATGTTCATCTACTCTGCATTTGTGGCCAACTTGCATACATTTAGTACAGAACTTAGGGGCCCAATCATATGCTATTTCTTGAGCAAACTCCCTCCCATTTGGATCAGTCACCTTGATGGACCTAGGCAGCTCTTTAGTAACATCCATTTCTATCAACACTCTTGCATAGGAGATCCTATCAACTTGAGTAGTACAAGCATCAGCATATAGAGGAATTCCCAAACCACTACTGATCCTACTTAGTGACCTATTTCCCCAGCAATTCAAAGGCAAATTAGGATATTTGACTCACACTGGTATAGTTTGAAGCACCTCTTTATTGAAATCAAAATCGGCAGACCACAATTTGACAATGATAGGCTTGTTATTCAGCATGTGAGGTCCTGAATATATTACATCATCCCTATCTTCAGTAGAATTGAAACGAACCACAAAATATCCATCATTGTGAAAATTCACCTTAGGCTTTGCTACAAAGTTCCATACTGAAGCAATGTACCTTTCCATGGCACCTATTGTTGGACTTCCTCCAACAACATACAGGATTAACGCTTGCTTCCATTTCTGAGTCTCCTTCTCAATTTCTTCCTTGCATAGGTCCACAATCACCTCACCATTTTTAATATTTGGTGAAATAAAACTCAGATCCATACCTTTTGCTGTAAAATTCGATCCCACGAAAAGATTTGCCTACTGTTTTTGCCCTTTATCAGCCTCCACAGGAGGCAAATTCACTTGAGGTTGAGTTATCTCTGGTGTAGCCCCTTTTTCCCCCAGTTCGCCAGTAATTGGTACAGAACTCTTACCAATTGTCACATTTTTGCTTACATTAGGGCTTGCATGTATCATCGGACCATCACCAACTGCTTTACCACTATGATTGTCCTTATCTAGTGGAGTTTTCATACCTTCCTTTGTGGTTGACAATGGCGACCACTGTTCCATTGAAGCTTCCCCTTGATCTCTAACCGTATTGCTCTCATTCCTCAGAATTGGAGTGCTCGTTCTGCGTAATCAGTTACTTGGCTCTCATTCCTCGGAATTGGAGTGCTCTCATTAAAGTTACTGTATATTTAGGCTAAAAGTGTAACAAGAAGTTTGTTTGCATAAAAGCAGGCTAAAGCCTAAAAGAATAACATCTTGTTTTTATGTATTTATAGGCTCAACGATGACATTAGATAAAACTGAGAACCATTTCAAGGTAACTAAAATAAAAGATTACTATTCTAAATGTTATGCTTTTGATTAGTGTGGGGGGTCGCGAGACGGCACAACGTACTATTCTGCCATAGTCAAGATTTGTTTATAGTGAAAACAGTTTCATAGTCAACATAATTTGAACTTTGATCAGATATAAACTTCGAAATCAGAGTTTGGCGTGAATCTAGAAAAATGCTACTGTATTAATTGAGTTCTAATCAAGGTTCTTTCACATTATATTGAAGCTGTCTTTTGTTTGCGTAGTTGTCAATAACACTTATTAGTAGTTGCATTAATAGTGAATTTCTCAAAGATATATTTTCTAGATACACCACCAACATCTTACTGCTCAACTTATTATTCTTCATACATTATGTATTCAGCTTTTCTTATACTTCTTACGATTAGATTTTCACCAAAAAGTGTAATTCTATGGATGATCATTATAATAGAGTATTAGTATATGATTATGTCCATTTCACTAGAAAAATGTTGTAAACACTACTTACCACTAAAATTGATAATAAGCAAATACCATCCCAACAGTTTGGGAATAAAAAATTTAACAAATAATCATGCATGCCATTGATGTTCTAGTCTTCTATCTTGAGCTACTGACATGTGGATTTCATAAATTACAAAAAACGAAAAACCTAGAAGGATATTCCTTGAACAACACAAATTTCATCTTCAAAATCGTTGTGGTTGTTACTTAATTATTTAATTCCTTCTTACAAGGAAATCAAATAATTTCAATCGAGGCAAAAATTACTAGTAGTTAACCTTTGATGAATCGAATTATCTGATACCTATATAGATGAGAAATAACAAATATCATATAAATCGAAATACATGTAAGTTGACCCGATATCATGCCCCTCAATTATTAAAAAACCAACACCATGCTCCACAGTTATAAAAAAAACCAAGGTAATCAAGCAAGGAAATAAAAAGGGTCGCCGGTGCATAAAATATTCGGTGTTCATGCACGGTCGGGGAAAGGATCGCATCCCAAGGAAGTGTGAAGTAGGCAGCCTATCATTCCACGATTCGAACCCGTTGTCTATAGATCACACGGAGATAACTTAACCATTGCTCAACCAATTTATTGCACTTATACATGAGTCCAGAATTGAGCCTAAGCGTCACAACTAAGGTATTCACCACTCTCAAGGCACAACAAAGTCAAGAAAAGTCAGCTCCATTTAATACATGGCACAAGACTTCACTAATCCTAAAAAAAACTAACTACACCCGGTTCAAACAAAACCTCTTGGAAAAGAATCGCGACACAAAGAAAAACCAAGGGGAATTTGTTACACTACCTAAGAAAACAAAACAAAAATAAACGACTCAAAATTTTTTCTTCGACTTAAGTCCCTCAAGAAGACAGCCGAGGAAATCCATCATCGGGAAAAGTCAATTATTTTTCCTTAATCAAAAGAACGAAAACAAACACATATATACATATTTACATCCCCCACCCCACACTTTAAATTGTGGCATGTTCCCATGAAACACATATAAAAAGCAAGAGGTAAAGGAAACTTCCTTGATTCATCTAGTCGGGGTCTAAATCGAAGTAAGGATCTCCTTTGCACACCAGACCTAGTGCACACATCCATGCTGAGAGCTTTTTTCGGCCTTGTTTGGGTGCACCCCACACTTATCAGTTTTACTCTGTCCAAGTTGCTCCTTTAGGGCCCCCCCTTTCTCCTTCCATATTGAAGATCAGCCTTTCTTCCCCCACTCTGAGCATGATCTACCTTTCCTGAATATCCAGAATTTCTCCACCCGTAGCCAAGAAGGGTCTTCCAAAAATCAGAGGGACCTCCATGTTCTCCTCCATGTTCACCACAATGAAGTTCACAGGGAACACAAACTTGTCCACTCGAACTAGCACATCTTCCACTATCCTTCAGGTATGATTGTGGTTTGATCCGCCAGCTTCAAGGACACAGGTATCGACCTGATTTCTTCAATCTCTCCCTCTAATTTTCTAAAAATAGACAAAGGCATAAGATTAATAGAAGCACCTGAATCACACAAAGATTTTTTAAATTTAGTACTTTCTAAAGAGTAAGGTATAGTAAAACTCTGTGGATCTCCACACTTTTTGAGGGAGTTTGTTTTGCAGAATGGTACTAGAATGCTCTGTGAGCTTGACAACCGATGTCTCTTCAACTTTTCGCATTTTGGACAACATATCTTTCAAAAATTTAGCATAAGATGACATTTGTGATAGCACCTCTGCGAAAGGTATATTCACATGCACTTGCTTGAACACTTTTACAAAATGCCCATATTGTTTGTCCAGCTTCTCTTTTCTCTGCTTCTGAGGAAAGGTAGAGCCGACATATATTTACTCTCTTCGATCTCATCATTAATTCTTTGTTTGTCTTTCTTATTCCTTGTTGGAACTTCATATTTATTTATTTTTCTTCAGATCATCCTCTTGCTCTGCCCTCACTTCATTCCTAACTTGATTTTACATCAACTCATTGTTGTCTGCTACCAACGAATCTTGCAATACTTTGTCATTCCTCAAAGACATTGCATTTATTGTTTCCTTTGAATTCTTTTCGGTGTCCGCATGGAGAGTTCTTGAAACCCTCTCAGATAATAGATTAGCTAGTTACCCCACCTCTCTTTCCAAATTTCAAAAGGTCGTTCCTAGTTCTTTGATAACTGCTCCATGGGTATCAAGGCTCTCTTATATCTGAAAAATAAAGGTCTTCACCAAATCTTCCATGCTAGACTGATTAAACAGTGGAGGATGATATTATTGCCTCTGCTGATTTTGAAAACTTGGAGCTCCCTATCCCTAGAGTCTGGAGTTATTCTGCTGCTATAAGTTTGCACTACTACCTGGTGAACTCCAAGAAAAATCTGGGTGCCTCTGTCCCGTAGAGTTAAAATTATTTTCACTTTGGTAGTTGCCTCTATCAACGCTCCCCACAACATTTACTACTTCGGCTGAAGCTTGAAACACATGTGTAGGGTGTCCCATTCCATAAAAGTTACATGCGGCTTGCGGCTCACTCTGTTCCTTGGCCAATGTTAACTTTCTTATCTCTCTGGCCATGGTGTCTAGCTGGGCTTGCACTAATGTGTTAGAGTCTACCTGGTGCACCCCACCTAATTTTCTTCTATGGTTATCACTGCAAGCCATTAATTTGCGTCTTTAGATAATTCATCTAGAATTGCAACAATCTCCTTAGGATTTTTCTTCATAAGAGGACTTCCGATTGCGTTATTTAGCGTCCTCCTGCCAGAGGGTGTCAGTCCTTCCTAGATTTTTTGGAGTTGCATCCACAAGCCTACTCCATGATGCTGACATCTTCTTACAATCTCCTTAAATCTTTTCTATGCTTCAAACACCGCTTTTGTCTCTTTCTGTTCGTAGTTGTGGATCTCTCTTCGAATTTTCCCTGTTTTTGCAGCTGAAAAATATTTTTCAAGGAACTTCCTTGTCATGTCTTCCCAAGTTTGAATTGACCCAGTCGGCAAACTTCGCAACAAGTGCTTAGCATCTTTCCTCAGTAAAAAAGGGAATGTCCTTATGTAGGTAGCATCTTTCAATACTCCGTTGTGCCGGAAGGTATTCATAATCTCATCAAAATCCATCGAATGAGTAATTGGATCTTCATTGGGTTTCCCACAGAAGACAAAATTGTTCTGAATGGTCTGAATAGCCCTTGCTTGATCTCAAAATTATTGGTTGCGATCGGAGCGGGTCGCACACTAGATACTCTTTGATTGTAGACTGGCCTGGCGTAGTCTCCCAGTGATCGTCCATGCCTGGGCATATTATTGTCAAATCCATCTTCAACCAGAGGTCGGTTCAGGTTAAATCTTCGTCCTCCATTCCCATCAACCATTTCATCAGCTCTAAGAGCTGCTTCAGCAGCTGCCCTTGTGGCTGCTTCCTGTTGGGCTACTTCTCGTGCATCCAAATCAACTATCTCCTCACCGTTCTTAGCCATGTTCTCTTGGGTTGAAGATTGCCCAAGAATTTCCCGGTGAGTTCTTTCTCTTTCCTCAACTGTCGCGGACGCTTTTCCACCTCTGGATCATATGGAATCATTTCGTTAGAAGAAGATCGAGTCATACACCAAAGAGCTTAACTTGTTGGCTGCACACGGAAGAGAAAAATCGTGAAAAATAAAATAAAATAGGTTCCTAAATTAGCACCAAAAACTAATTTGAACACTATTGATTGCCAATCCCTAGCTACAGCGCCAGAATTTGACGGTCACAAAACACAACACGAAATTGATACTCGTTAGTCAAAGATAGTATAGTTTAATTATCATCTCCATAGGGATTGGATTTAAATAATGCTCTAGTAATTTCTGGTTTAACGCTATTCAGGATGATTAGTACTTTAGTTGGGATGGCTTATGACTAAAATTAACTCTGAAAACTAAAATAATTAACAATTGATCACA